CAGGAAGGCCCCAAATGCCACGTTACCATCGAGAAGGATGGGGGCTGCAACCACATGGTCTGTCGGAACCAGAATTGCAAAGCGGAATTCTGCTGGGTGTGTCTGGGCCCCTGGGAGCCCCACGGATCAGCCTGGTGAGTTCAGGAGTGTGCCTTGCTGGAAGGTGGGGAAGCCGTGATGCAAACGGCATCGATGTGGACTGAAAACTGTGGAATCGGTGTCCCTGTTACAGGTACAACTGTAATCGCTACAATGAGGATGATGCAAAGGCAGCAAGGGATGCACAGGAGGTGAGTCCATAACCTTTGGTGATAAGGGAGGTCACCAACCCTGTGGCGTGCTTTTGGGCTTTCTGTAAACCTATAAATCGTCTTTGAAGAATTTCCTGGATTTGGGCACAAATCCAGACGACAGTGAAGTTCCCCAGCAGCTTTGGACTCTTGCCTCGTGCCAGAATGAAAAACGATCAAAGTCACTTTAACCCAGTTTAAAGAATATGTTAACTTAGTTGTTATCTGTCATGCTGCCTTGCCTGTTTTATAGCAGCTCTTTGCATGAAGTCATCATAATGCCATGGGTCTGAGACAACAATTCTCACATCCTTCATAAAATGCTCTTTACCGCAAAGTTCTTAATGCGAATCCCGAGGTGTAAACACAGCAGACCTTTTGAATGTAAATAGACTCCTGTCCTTCCAATAACTGTATTTGAAGGCTTGATGTAGAAGAAATTTTGGGTGAAGTCACAGCTACATTAAACTGGTTAGTGAATATGGATCAAGCTAAAACCCTTTTTGACAGGGAAGGATTGCATGCTGTGTGCTGCAGAAATCCATTTCCTGCAGCTCTGTTGAAGTACCGTTATAGCCAAGAACCAAAGTATTTCCTGCAGCCCCTCCTCCTGTGGACAGGCATGACTTTGGCTGATACGTGCTACCTTTGTACGGCCACAACATACAAGTTTAATTATGCCCATGTTGTAATTTTTTTTTTTACAGCTGGTCTGTCAGTGAGAAGAAAATAAGATTAATGGCTGTGTCTTGAGTCATCTTGAGTTTCTTGTACACATGGTGTCTTTCCCCTGCTCTACAATCAGTGTGGCCTAGGCAACCTGAGGTTGCCCTCCACACAAGCACAGTAATTGTTTAATTAGGATTCCTTATTAACAACAACAACAAAAAAATCATCTGTTTCTCACTGTTTGTCATGACACTGGAAGCATTTAAGTCCTGTAACTTGAATTGAGAGTCTGAAATTCAAAACTGATCAGGCTTTAGCAATGTGATTCTAATTATTTTCAAGGCTGGGAGCGAGGATGCCACAGCTGAGCCAGCAAGTCCCCCGCATGACGGCGAGCCGCAGTGGGTCTGGCCTCTCATCTCTGCACAATGGCAGGGTTAACGGTGCCACACAAAGCGGCGCCATCTAAGTCTGGCCAACGTGAGAGGAGAGGAAACACCTTTGGAAAGGAAGCTCCTTCTCAGGGTCAGGAAGAGCCGTGTGAAGGGTTTAATTCTCTTGCAGCCATTACTTTGTTTTAACTATTTGTTTTCTTTTTCCCTAATGGGAATTAACACAGCGATCCAGAGCAGCCCTGCAGAGGTACCTGTTCTACTGCAACCGCTATATGAACCACATGCAGAGCCTGCGCTTTGAGCACAAGCTCTATGCTCAGGTGAAGCAGAAAATGGAGGAGATGCAGCAGCACAACATGTCGTGGATCGAGGTGCAGTTCCTGAAGAAAGCAGTCGACGTCCTCTGCCAGTGTCGTGCCACACTCATGTACACTTACGTCTTTGCCTTCTACCTCAAAAAGAATAATCAGTCCATTATTTTTGAGGTAGGAGAAAACATGGTTGTCAGGAGTTCAGATTACAAAGTTAAGAGAAATAGGGATTTAATGCTTGGAGAGGCTGTTGCCCCTAACTGTACAGAAGTGAGTCTGTCTTAATATGCTGTTGTGCAAAAGTTAGAGGCTGTGCTTGGTATCATGTAGCATCCTCTGTTGGAGGAGGAAGTAGAGTTACAAGTTACTGCCCTCTGAAACAAGAAAGGGATTCAGGTTGTGCCTTAATGGCGCCTTTGCCAGTTCAAAGCTTAAATCTGGCATTTTGCCTTTCCCGGGCATTGGCGTTTTTCCAAGGGCACTACCAGAAAACTTGCACTTGAAGGTTTAAACGTGGAGCTCCAGCCTGCTTTGCAGGTGAAACTGTCTTGGCTCTTTATGCTTTAAAACAGTCCTTTGCTGATCTTTGTGCAGAACCGAAGCAGGATGCTTCTGCGCTGCATCCTCAGCAAAGGGCCCACAGAACTACTGAGCGGTAGTGAAAGCCGTGCTCTGATGCTGCTGTGCGTGTACCAGGAGTCACTGGAGGCTTTGCCAATGCTGGTAAAAACATGAATAGACAAGGAACAGAATGGGATATAAATTGTCTTGTAAGGAAAGGATTTTTTTTTTAGGCTTGCCAGGATATTGCAGATTGAGGGAGACATAAGACTTGCCGGTAGATATGCAGATTCTCTTGTGATCAAATGAAGAAATTTCAGCTTTTTCAATCTTGATGCTCAGAGCAGGTCACTAGTGTTACCCAGTGCATATTTAATCCCGCTTTTTATTTCAGTACTGATAAAGTTGGATTGAAGGAAAAAAAACCTCTTCCTTTCCTTCCCTGCCAAAAAAATCCTTTATCTCTCTTTTTTTTCGTTTTTGTTTTTGCAGAATAACCAAGCAGACTTAGAGAATGCTACAGAGGTCCTTTCCGGGTACCTTGAGCGAGATATATCCCAAGATTCGCTGCAAGACATAAAGCAGAAAGTACAGGATAAGTACAGGTTTGTTTTTGAATAATCCTCTGTCTCTGAGTACCTGTATCGCCACGCTGTGTGTGACAGGTAGTGCCATGTGTACTTGCCGAGCTACAGTTTTCTCCAGAGTCACATCCCTGGGAAGCTGTTTGCTGTTGGCCTTCTGCCGTACATCGTGATCATCAGCCGGTCCCTGAAATGGTCAGCAGAGAAGCCCTCATGCAGAGATGCCAGCAGCATGTTTCTGTGCTCCTGCTGGGACCAGCCCTCAGGGGAGGTGACAGCCTGCAGGGAGAGGTTCCCAACTCTGCTTTGCGTCTGCTCTGCTGAGCAGTAGCTGCAAGATTCAATCCCATAGTGGAAAAATATTATGACCAAAAGCAACGGCTTTTCATACACTGCTGTTCCTGCAGAAGGAGCGCGTGGGATTGGGCAGGACCAAGATAGGACCTATTTAGTGAGGGCCAGAGGAGAACAAGGAGTGACTTTGTTGTTCCCAGCTGACAGCTTTGGCTTAGGATGAGTTGCCATAAGAGCAGTCAGGTCTCTTATCTCTTGGGTCCGTTTGTACAAAAAGTGGGTGTAGAAAAGCCGTCTGAAAGAAGAGGGAGAGAGCAACCTGCCCACCTGGGGAAGAGAAGTGCCGGGGTCCAGGTGACACAAGTGCCAATGCTTTTTACAGTCCCAGAGGAATTGCTTCTGCACAGTGGAAAAATACAAAGCTGTAAATGCGGATGAGTCACAGGATTATGGCTTGCGTTTTTGAGGCATTTTGCCAAAGTCACTAAATTTGTTATGCCTAGCTTTGGGGGGAGGGGGGGAAAGGCCAAAGTAGAGTGAGCTGTAGTGACTAAAGGGACTCAGGAGAGTGGAAGCAGCCATTTAGCTGTGGTGGGCCTATGGTCCACTCTGCCATAGTCTGGCAGCACAGCTGGGGCTGGACAAGACTATCAGACCTTCTCTTTTGAGACATTTTATAATTTACCTTTTAAGACCACTGTTAAGTTGGTATCTCAGCTCAAGCTGCTTGTTCACTTAAGCCCTCTGAAAGTGGATGCTCTTCTAGGAGTGGTAACAGCTATCCAGAAGAAATTAAAACCTAATATAGCCTGAATTGCCTCAAAAAATAATATCCCAAACCTGCCCTCATGTTTCTGGGAAGAAAATATGCATCTTTCAAGCCTGTGCAGGTCCCTAATTATCTAGTTCAGTCATGTCTTGATCACGTCCTGCATGGTGCTTTGTGCACTGGCTGCGGTGTACTGCTGCCAGACGGGGACCAAGGATGTTATCGAGGTGGGTTTAAAGGGCTCTGGGAATTGCAGGGACTGACCTTCTAGCTAATTTGGTTTCAGCTCTTTCGATCTCTTAGCTTGCAAAGACATTTCTGGAAAGCAGGAGTAAAACCTCCACCACCAGCAGCGAAACGCTGCTGAAGCTGGGAGAGCAGAAACTGTGCATGTTTGCCATCACATGCTTCAGAAAATCAATGGGACTTTGTGTACGATGATTTCTGTTGCAACAGCTGATGGGAATGAGAAGAGCCAGAACAGTTTTATTCAGATAAATCTGTCGGTCTGGTCAGCTACTGAATGGTAGCAGCATTAGGGCTATGGGTTAAGGTGAGGAGTTTCTGCCTACGTGTTAGCATGCGTTGTGATCAAGGATGGCTTTCTGCTGGAGATACCTCCTGTGTGCTTCACTTTAGCGAGCAGAGGGATGTTTGCCCACTGCCGAGCAAGTTCCTGGCTGCGAGAGCCCCTCAGATGCTGTCCTGGCCGATGTGCGTGCCCGGAACATGAACCGCCCAGTTCCCAGATGGAAGGCAGTTGGCTCCTGGGTTCCAATTTCTCACGTTCCAGCACACCGCTCCAGGCTGGGCGCTGCCGAACCGTGAACCTGCTACAGAGCTGCACCTGGGGCCTTGGGAGCTGTTACTAAGACTTGTCTTGTCCCTCGTGTGCTTAAAGACGATTTAGGCTTTGGCATCACTGCTGGAAGGGGTTTAATCCAGAAATTCCTGCTGCTTATTTATAACTTGCTCTTGGAACCTGAATACTTTAAATGTTTCTCTGCTTTTTATCTTTTTAGTTGGCTAACGCACCCGAAATGAACATGGCATCTTTTGATACGTTCCTATGATATCACTTTTCCTCAGTATCATTGATGCTGGTAGGACTGTACCGAACTCTGGGGTCAGTTTTATTTGCAGCTTTGTTCAAATGAGCATAGGTGGGAAGACCCTGCAGGGCGTAGTGCCCGTCTGAGAGCCAGGAGTTGCGATGCGAGGTAAAACTTGCACTCCAGCCAGACCCGTAACCCTTTTTGTAGCCAGTTTGACCGTTTCCATCTCCACCGGGGCTTTGGAGGGGAATAAAACCGGGTCAGGTTTTGCCCAGCTAGCTCCTGGATTTTTGTTGTCTCGATAGGGCTCAGTGAGCAGGCGCCAGCCCACCTTTGAGGAGAGCTTTGTCCCGTTTCAGGTGTCGCCGCTAACCTGTGCTCTGGCTTCTTGCAAATTGCAGCTGCTGCTTCTTCCTTTTTCAGTTATTAATGGAGGTTTCTCAGCTGGAGGGGCTTTGGGGATACTTTTGCATGGGGAAAATCTAAATTTGCATGCTGTTTTTTCAGCTGGGGACCTGGAGTTGAGTGACTGGAGTAACTGAAGTCTTAATTAGCGCCGTTAATGGGCTACAAAGTCCCTTCTCGGGGGATCTCTTTCGGAAGCGCGGCTTTAATGTAGGTTTGCATTACTCGATGCTGGGGATGAGCCGTGGTTCCTAATGTGCCTTTTCTGTGCTTGTCCCCCTTTACTGCAGATACTGCGAGAGTCGACGAAGGGTTTTGTTGCAGCATGTGCATGAAGGCTACGAGAAAGACCTGTGGGAGTACATTGAGGACTGAGACTGGCCCCGCATAAAACGAACTCTGAAACCTTTACCATCTAGACTGCTCATGCAATTCAAATAAAACACACAACAAGGCGCTACTACGCCTGTTACACCGCTGGTCTGTAGTACCGGGATTCTGTTTTGTTAACAGAAAATTTAAGTAAATTATATTGTAATAAAAAAAAAAAAACCCAAGGTAGATAAACCATTGTACAACAGTATTTTAGGTGGCCAATAAGAGTGTGACAGATGCACTAAAAAAAAAAACAAACAAACAACAAAACCCTCCAACTTTAACTTGTAACGTAGCTTCATTCTCCAAGCCGATTCCTTTTTCTTTTCTAATCTTTCTTTTCCTGTGTGTAGTACAGATGAAATTTAAACCAGTTTCTTGACACTGCTTTTCATGTCCAAACCAGCCATTTTGATGTACTTTGGTAAGAGGGGGAAGGCTCTCCCGCCCTCCTCCTCCTCTCTGCCACCCAAGTACAGGGATGAATGTCGATTGGCTCATGTGAAGATGAATCTTGGGGAGGGGAGGAGGGGGGGGTACACAGCAAGGAAAAAAAAAAAAACAACTAAAAACCAAACAAAAACTTTGTATATGACTTTTAAAACAAAAAGAGGACAACACAGTATTTTTCAAAGTTGTATATAGCGCATATGCATGGACAAAGAGCAAGCGTGGCACGTGTTTGCATAATGTTTAATTACAAAAAAATATTTATTCTTTAAAAATCTTCAAGATTATGTCTATTTGCTGTGCATTTTCTTTCAGTTTGATTTTTTTTTTTGTTTTATTTTCCCTGGGATGGGGTGGGGGAAGCGTGTGCTGGTGTAGTGAGTATTTTATTAATTTTTTTTGAAGGCTTTTATCAGAGAAGTTGGGTTTCTGCTCTTCCTGCACTTCCTTTACGTCAATTTTGTGTGTGTGTAGCCATTGCTGGCGACAGACCTGTCCCCTTGCGCGCAGCTCCTGATGCTCGGTAACCCGGTGTACGTTGCGTTAGCGACCACCCTACGCCGTGATTCGGGATGCTTTGCCTTTTCTTTTTTTGGCCCCTGGATTGCTACCTGCCCAAATCCACCTCAGCTGTTTCCCCACCACGAACCCAGAGGAGGGGGGTGTGTGTGTGTGTGTGTGTGTGTTTAGCATTTTATTTTTAATTCTCAGGCAGGAAAAGGAAGGGGTATTTTGCACCACTTCTCAAAAAGACTTCTGGAAAGATTTTGGCTGTGGATCTCCTCTCCCTCCCCCTTTCATCTGTCAAATGGACCGTTCTTGCTGTTTAAGTTTCACTTACATTATAACAAGTCGTAACATTGAAAAGGAAAGATGATGGAATTGTCTTTGTGTTTGTTTTGGGCTCAATTACTGGGCATACTGTCCTGGCAAATATTTAACACTCCATCTAGTGCAGTAGAAGTTAAAATCAGCGGGGTATTTTTTCAATTAAAAGGGGAAAGAACTAATGAGTTAGCTACTGAGTCCATTTTTATGATTTCTGTAACAAGAGCTATGTTAAAGTAAACAATTGGTGGTGGTTTTATTAAATTTACTCCTGTATAGGAATTCCTTCTGTGGTATTTTTCGCCAGGCTAGTCTCCTCAAAAGCTTTCTCCCAGTCTGCCAGCTTCAAGGGGGAATAAATTGCAAAGGGGCGAATTAAAAAAAGGTGCATCGCAGGCAGGCCTGTAATGCAAAATGCTGTTTGCAGCTGGCGCCTGCATCATTTCGGCTCCCTTGCTGACAAATACCAACGCAGTTTTGTCCCTCCATACCTGCGTTCTATTTCGGCTCCCCTCACAGGGGTTTATTTACCTTGGGGAATTGCATGTGAGAGTATCTGCACTGCAGCTGCTTTCCCTGTGCTTTTCCAGCCACGGCTCGTGAGGGGTGGGATGGAGGTCTGTGCTGCCTGTTGTTGGCCTCTACCTGCAGGCAGGGGCTAGTTGGCTTTCTCTTTGCTCACAAAAGTTTCCCCTTCCATGTATTAAAATGCTTTTGAAAGCCTGGCAGGTGCTGGGCTGGGCGAGTGGAAGCCTGGAGTCTACCTGGTGTTGGGTTTTTACTCCATCTTCCCCAAATGGAATATAGGAAGGATGCGGGCAGCCTCCAACCTGAAGGAAACCTGGTCCATAGCGTGTTCAATCTTGATGGCTGTTGATAAAGCTTAAGCGAATGCTCGTTAAAACCTTGTTCTGTGGGAGCAACGTGCTGCCGTGCGTCTCTTCCAGCCTTCAAACGCTCCCCCGGCACTCGCCTGTGGGTAAGGACACCGACCCCGCTACCACCCGCTGCGGCGGGCA